TGAGGTTCTGACTCCGAGGCCAGGAGGCCAGGAGGCCAGGAGCTGGGGCTGGAACGAGACACCGCTCCCCACCCCTCCCCCTCGGCAGCTGCAGAGCCTTGGTGAATTGTTTGCTTCACTGAACCTCAATGTTCTCTTCGAGAAACTGGAGATAATGAAAGCACGTACTGAGGCAGGAAGAAAACTGTCCCCAAAGAGGTCCATGTCCTAGTCCTCAGAACCCGTGAGTGCTACCTTCTGTCATGGAAAGGGATATGATTATGGGCATGGAGCCTTGAGATGGGGAGAGTGCTCTCGATCATCTGGTCCCCTTCTAATTATGCCCGTTCTTAAAAGTGGGGACTCTTTCCCCACTGTGTCACAGAGACATGTGGCCACAGAGGCAGGGTCTGAGAAATGACACGCTGCTATCTTAGAAGATGGAGGAAGGGACGTGAGCCAAGGAATGTGGAAGCTTCTAGAAGCTAGAGAAGTCAAGGAACAAATCCCCCAAGTCAGCTTATAAATCCGGGGCAATGTCCGTGCTTTGTATTTCAGTATACCTCACAGTAGCTAGAATGGTGCTGGGGCCATAAAATAATAAAATTTAGATATTTAGAACTGGAAAGGATCTCTCCGATGATTTTGTTCTACCACGATAAGCAATGTGTTGATCACAGATGGATGGCTGGTGGAGAGATAGATGGGTAAGTAGATGGGTGCTTGCGTAGATGGATGGATGGGTGCGTGGGTGGATGAGTGGATGGACGAAATTGCTAGCAGCCTAAAGTGAGGTTTTGAGATATTTGTGGGATTTCTAAATAATTTCAATCCTTTCATCAGAGTTCAACCTGTCTCTTTTCCTCTCTTTGTAAGCCATACATAATAGAAAAGTTGACTGAGTTAACTCTAACCTGAGTTAAATATTGATCCTTGTGAACTCCGTGTTGAATAAGACCAAAACATCTATGGTCATTTACATGTAACACTCAGATATCATGTATCCTTCAGGTTCATTAAATGCATCAGAATGCACTAGATCCCAAAAGGGGAGGTGAAGAGTGAGGAGGTTTCCAGATTTCTGGAGACGCACAGATTCACCTATAATTCATCTGTCACATGGAACATTGGCGACAGAAGGGAGAGGTTGAGAAACTTTGGGTAGTTCAGGATTTATTCATAGGCTTGGCACACTAGAAGACATGATGATCAAAAATATGGCCCTTAAAATACAAATGCCATGGGTTCTCAAAATAGTGGAAATGGAATCATTAATATTGAAGCACAAGAGAACCAAACAAACCGATTCTCCTAATTTCTGTTACTTCTGTGAGTTGTTACTACTCCTCTGGCCTTGCCCCCATTCCTAAATTGGATCTTTCATGACCTCAGATCGTCTGTCACTGTGAACACTACTGTCTTCAGAAAGCAGTCCAGGCTGCGGGCCTCCCACAAGGCAGTCACCGAGGACAGGGGCCTCCTTGTAGCCCTGCTACACACTTGTCACTGGCACAGCCCCCTCCCAACAGATGTTGGTCGAGTTCATGAACTAATCAGTTACATATTGTTATTTAGCCAGTTTCCATCTTCGCATTGGGACAGACCTCAAGCCCAGAGATGGTATGAGACTTGACACAGCTAGTTAATGGCAAACCACAGCTGGAATCCATGTCTGTCCATAACTATGCCAACACTTTTCCACCTTAAGATACTCCAGAGAGGGGGCTCGTCCTCTCCTGTGGAATGAGGCCAGGGCCCCGTGGGGTCTCATTGGACCATAAGGCTTCCTGTTCCCAAGTATTGGAGGAGTCTCTGGTTTATTAAAATCATCGGAGTCATTCAAGTTCCTGTTCCATTTATAGCCCAGCCATCAGATGAGCTGTGGTGGCCCTATTTCTGTCCCAGGCTCTTGGTGTCAGGGCTGGCTCCTTTGGGGTCATGGAACAGGATTTCCATTCCGGACTTGCACCACATAGCCCCAAGGATGGATGGCAGGTGGCTCAGAGCTAAAGTTTCCAACTGAGACGCATCCATTCAACACGTGTTTATTTCATACTAACATGTTGGGCACTGCTGTAGGCTCTGGGGCACAGAAGTGAGCAAATCAGAAGCCCACACAATGGAACACTACACAACCATGAAAAAGAATAAAATCTTGCCATTAGAAACAACATGGATAGACCTAGAGGTTGTTAGGCTAAGTGAAGTAAGTCAGACAGAGAAGGAAAAATACCCTATGATTCCACTTATATCTGGAATCTAAAAAACAAAACAAGACAAAATAAAAAACAGAAAGAAGCTCATAAATACAGAGAACAAATAGGGGTCTGCCAGAGAAGAGAGGGTTAGGAAATAGACGAACTAGGTGAAGGAGATTAAGAGGTGCGAACGTCCACTTATAAAATAAGTAAGTCAGGGGATGAAAAGTACATAGCATAGGGAATATCGTAGGGAAAAAAAATCCTGCAACTTTAATGAATTCATTTATCAGTGCTAATAGTTTTTTGGTGGAATCTTTAGGGTTTTCAATATGGAGTATCGTGTCATCTGCAAAGAGTGAAAGTTTTGCTCCTTCCTTGCTGATGTGAATGCCTTAATTTCTCCATCTTGTCTGACTGCCGTGGCTGGGATTTCTACTACCACATTGAATACAAGTGGTGAAAGTGGACATCCCTGTCTCGCTCCTGATCTCAGCGGAGAAGCTCTCAGCTTTTCACCACTGAGGATGATGTTAGCTGTGGGGTTGTCATACATGGCCTTTATTATATTCCGTCTATACTTTGTTGAGAGTATTTATCGTGAATGGGTGTTGACTTTAAAGTTTTCGCTCTGTACCCATGGAGTACGATTTTAGTTGCAGATTGTTCACATATGGGTCATGTTAAGAAAGTTTCCTTCTATTCCCAGTTTATTGAGTGTTTCCATCATGAAAGGGCATTGAATTTTCTTAAATTCTTTTTCTGCATCCATTAAGATGATTATATGTTTTTTTCACCTGCATTCTATTAATGTATCATATTCCACTGATTAATCTTCATACGTTGAACCATTCTTGCAATCCAGGAATAAATGCTTCTTGGTAATGGTGTGTGATCTTTCTAATATGGGGCTGAATTCAGTGTGCTAGTATTTTGTTGAGGAGTTTTGCATCAATATTCATAAGGGATGGTGGTCTATGGCTTTCTTGCAATGTCTATGTCTGGTTTGGGTATCATGGTAATTTGATAACTTAATTTTTTTAAATCCTTGCCTTTTAAAATAAATTCCAAGGATGGGGTGAATATACCTTTCTACATAATTAAATTTGGTATATTCTAGAACAGGTGCAGTTACCTGCCTAAATGTACTTACTAAAAAATATTTCCCATTCCTAGTTTTGTAACACCTGAGAATATCACTTCAATTATTTCGAGGGGTTTTAACATATCTTTCAAAAGTTTTCAAAACAAAGTTACACTTAATTCAGCTTAATTAAAGAAGTCCTTTTTGGGGTGTAATATTGCAAAAATTATACGATAAAGATAGATATCAAATTTCAAATTTCCTTTTGAGAAAATTGCTTCCCCTAAAACATTTCCTTTCATGGTTTTAAAGACACGTGTCATACATTTTGACACTTAAACCCAAATCTGAATAGTTTACTTCAACCATTATGCAGAACTATTCCTTTTCTAAAAGGGTAAATTGCTTCTATTATACAGTTGCAAAATACCTGGGAAAAAAGTAATTTGCACCTCCATTCCTCTCTAACATGTATTCCTTTTGCATGTCTATGAACTTCATATAAATTTATAAAATTTTATAGCATTTTCTGATATTACTACAGCCAGCCACATTAGCTCTTTTGAAATTAGATTTTGCATGGTGGGTCTTTTTCTGTCCTTTTACTTTCAATCTATCTATGTCTTTAAGTTTAAAACATGCTGAAAGGGGCGCCTGGGTGGCGCAGTCGGTTAAGCGTCCGACTTCAGCCAGGTCACGATCTCGCGGTCCGGGAGTTCGAGCCCCGCGTCAGGCTCTGGGCTGATGGCTCGGAGCCTGGAGCCTGTTTCCGATTCTGTGTCTCCCTCTCTCTCTGCCCCTCCCCCGTTCATGCTCTGTCTCTCTCTGTCCCAAAAATAAACGTTGAAAAAAAAATTAAAAAAAAAAAACATGCTGATGTAGATAGAAGATAGTTAGATTTGGTTTTCTCCCAGTCTAATGATTCTATTCGCATATTCAGACTATTTCTAGCTAATGTAATTCCTGACAAAGCTGGGGTTAAGTCTGCCATCTTGCTCTTTGTTTCCATTTGTTCTTTATTCTTTCTTTCCTCCCTTCTTTCCATTAATAAGTAATTGTTGGTATTTCATTTATTGTTTCTATTGGCTTTTTAGCTGTGTCTTTTTTAAAAATATCTTTTAATGGTAATTCTAGTGATTACAATACACACCTTCAGTTTATCACAGTCTACCGTAAGTTAATGTTCTAAAACTTCACATTCATTGTAAGAAACGATACAATATTCATTTATTCCTTAGCACATCGCGTTGTTGTTGTTTTACTTTTATGTGCATCATAACCCCCCAATATGCCATCATCACCATTATCATCATCATCATCATCATCATCATCATCATCACTATTTCTTTATTTTTAAAAAATCTTGTAGTATTTTATTTGAATAAAGCCATTAAAATGGCCTGAAACAAAATGATCAGCATAAAAGGAAATTACAGCATCACTAATTTATACAAGAGGGAGCAGCAAGGGGCACATTTGGAAGTGCCTATAACACTTCAATTGATCCACGTTAAATCCCATAAAAGTAAGTAGTCAGAATGCAGCGTCATATACATACCATTGAAAAGGAAACGGGAACATTTACAGAGTTAAACTTTTGTATAACGTGTGAGTTTTGATATGCTATGTTTAAGTTAGCAAAAAGCCTTACAGTTTGTGTGAAATGGTCGTGTGCCCTAATCTCACCCACCACTAGATCAAGACACTGAAACTGAGAAGAGTTCCTTCCTTATTTACAGCTTTATTCTTGACGTCCCTCTTTGAGACCAAGACGATTGTGGAGCTGACTCGTACCTGGAGTGATTACAAAATACCACAGTCATAACAACGAGAGCCAAAAGAAGTATCGACCATCGTTTTACCTTTCAACTGCTGAGGTCACCTACAACACCGTGCAAGAAAGCACAGTCGTGCATTCACGAGTTGACTGTACCAACCTCTGTAAAAATTTAGGAATGAGCACATCCGAGTAAATGGATACTTCTTTATCTCACAGAGTAAAATCAAGCATTTTCTACTTTAAAATTATTTCTGGGGCGCCTGGGTGGCGCAGTCAGTTAAGCGTCCGACTTCAGCCAGGTCACGATCTCGCGGTCCGTGAGTTCGAGCCCCGCGTCAGGCTCTGGGCTGATGGCTCAGAGCCTGGAGCCTGTTTCCGATTCTGTGTCTTCCTCTCTCTCTGCCCCTCCCCCGTTCATGCTCTGTCTCTCTCTGTCCCAAAAATAAATAAACGTTGAAAAAAAAAATTTAAAATTATTTCTGTGTAAAACAAAGACAGAACTCTTGGAGGTCAAACAAGGAAAACAGATAGCAAGTGGAACGCACTGTTAAATCATGAAACAAAGAAGAATCTGCAGTAGAAGTCAGGCAGTATAATCCACAACCTTTTTAGGGGAGTACTTATTCCCAGCAACCATCACATCTCTGGTAAGATCTCATTAAAAAAAAAAAGTCACAAGTTCTAAAAAGTTAATAATCCACTCTCTGAAATCAGATATAAAACTATGACCAACAGAAGATACACAGAGTAAATGGTTTTACTAAAAGCTGTTGACGTTTCCATCAGCAGTAACCATAGGGAGCTGGCTGGTTGTAACCACAGTGTCCGTATCCGTGGGGGTAGTAAGTTTCACGTCTATACTGCGGGTAACTGTTACCCCAGGATTGTCCATGCTGCTGATTGGATCGAGTGTCAGTTTGCCACCCCCACCGGTTTGACCTCTAAACAGTCTATTACCTTGCAACTGATCGCCTCTGTGTCTCTGGCTCCCAGCAGCTCGGCTATTCTACTCCTCAACAATTGGAAGGAGACCTAGGAGGGCTCTTCAGGTATTCATGGTGCTCTTTGACATCTTCTGTGAATGTACCGGCAAACGTCTCTTCAAAATTTGGAACAGCTTCAGAAGGGTCTGTATTCCTGAAATTCCCAGCAACTTAAGGCAGCTTTGCTGTTTAATGTTTATGTTGTTTCCATCTCCGGCCCACAGCGTGGCCAAAGGACCTCCCAGTACTTCACCTCTCCAAGCCATTCCCATTACTATTCTTTTTTTTTTTTTTTT